TGACCCCTCTGGCTTGCTTGCTCTCCAGCTGTGCATGCCTCATGAGGCTTCTCTGGTTTCTGGGATACTATTCTGCCTTGTTTTATGTTGCTGCCATTAACCTTCATCCTGTTTAGATGTCTGCTTTTCACCTGCTTGATCTATTGGTTTTTTCCCTTCTGCATCTTTTTATCTTGAAAATGGTGAGACCTTACAGTTTAAAAGTAACTTGGGAATAACATACAGAGCAGGCATGTGCGATTTGGGGATTTTTTTTTTTTTTTTTTTTTTTGCATAGAGTCTCACTGTGTCACCCAGACTGGAGTGCAGTGGTGCTATCTCAGCCATCATACAACATCTGCCTCCAGGCTCAAGTGATTCTCTTGCTTTAGCCTCCTTAGTAACCGGATTACAGGCACCTGTCACCACAACGGCTAATCTGTATTTTTATTAGAGACGCCGTTTAACTATGTCAGCCATGCTGGTCTTGAACTTCTGGACTCCAGTGATCCACCTGCCTCAGCCTCCCAAAGTGCTGGGGCTACGTTCGTGAGCCACTGTGCCTGGCCCCTTTGCTGTTTTTATACTTTCTCTATATCCATAACTGTTTCCCTGTAAGTTTTTTTTTTTTAATTTCTCTTTTTTATTACTCCTGCATCATCTGCTATCTTGAAGGATCTGGAGGTAAGAGGCCCTGAGCCAAGGTGCAGTGACCCTGCAGGCCAGCCCTCCAACCTCCTCTCACAGTGGGGCTGTGCCCCTCTGCCAGCTAAGACAGCCCACACACACCCCAGCCCTAATGATTGTTCTCTCTACCTCTTCCCACAATCCTCCTCCAACTCCTCCTCTTCTCTGCAGCGTGCCCTGAGCCGGAACCAGGAACTGGAAGCAGCTCTGACTCCAAGCTCCGCACAATCAATCAACTCAGCAAAACATAGAATCACTGGTAAGAGTCCAGTGGGTCCTGTGATTCCACACTGCCAATCCTAAGCCAGTTTCCCTGGTCTGAAGAAAGGGGCTGGGTCCCCTGGGGCCAAGGGCAATGGGGAGCTGGAGCACCCAGGCTTCACCTGAGGACCCTATAAGATATGCAGCATGGCTCTCTTCTTGTCCACTGCCTCCCTCTTGCCGACTCCTCTTCTCCAGACACCCCTGCTCCGGTCCTTGCCACACATGCCCTGGGGTTGTCACCTCTCAGGGAAGCTCTAGCCTGATGGGTTTGTCAGGGCCCTGTATTTGCCATGACTCAAAGTCCCAATTTGCTCGGAGTCTGACAAGCCACCTCCTCCTTGCGCTGTGTTTCCGAAGGAGGTAGAGCATCAAAGGTTCCTGTTAGCTCTGAGAAATTGAGATTTAAAGGCTCCTAGAATGGAAACCTGAGGGCCAAGGGCTCCTGTCTGTCCTTTTCCATTCTATATCTGCTGTGAAGAACTGTACCTGGTTCGTATGTGCTCAGTAAATGTTTGTTGAATGAACATACCTTCCTCAATCACAAGCTGGGCAGAAGGGTGGGGCTTTCTCAGACTCCGTCCCTAGAGTTTATGTTACTGTCCTTGGAGAGAGAATCCAGATTCAGACTTTGAGTTCTGTGGCTGTGGCAAACCAACAAAGACCCAAATCCTCTGTCCTTGCGAGCTTGAGGACAGTTGACCAGTTCATGTTGCCAGCTGGGTCTGAGAATGTTGTCTTGAAATTCATTCGTGGCCCCTGTATTATCATTTGGGGATAGAGTTGAGGGGGCCACTTCAGTCACCTGAATTTGACTGTCCCCACAGAAACAACAGAAGAAACAAGTGGAACATCAGCTGGAAGAAGTAATGCATTTTCTTTTGAGTTTGCTCACAACACACTGCTAGAAGGTCAGGGGGCACTTCCAGATGTAGAGGCACCCAGTCTAGTCTCGCTACTCCTAGCGTGGGGAAGAAGGCACATCCCTCAGATTCCACCCCACATCTCCACAGCGTCTCCTGATAACCTGGTCCCATGGGTGGCTCCTAGTTGGGGCATTCAGGCATTCTGGCGTATATGTCTCTTGCTGTGCCATCTCTGCCTCTCATGGTAAGAGCTCTGGTCTTCCTTCTCAGAAAGGAGGCATAAAGATCAATGAACACAATGCCAAACGGAGAGTTAGGAGGGAGGAGGGTGGGTTTTCTCCTGTCCTCCAGAGAATGTTTTCTTCCTTTTCAGCATTCTGCTTGTATTTTCAAAACATTCAATTTCAGACAATCAACATCTCACACGCTGAAAAGGCAGACTTGAAGACCACCTTTGCTCATACTAAACGTGCTGCCAGACACTTTGAAGGTGGGAATCTGGGCACCCATCATCCTTCAACCTACATTGACAGGCCTCAGTGAGTCCTTTAATTTACCTCAACCTCTGCCACAGAAGAGTCCAAGACTGGCCGGGCCGCCTGCAATACTTCTTGCAGCGAATTGGGAATTGAGCGGGCTCTCTGCCGGGGCTTCACAGCAGCAGGAAGAGCACAGGTGAGTTCAACCAACTGCCCGCCCTGGTGGCTTCTCTCTGGCTTCCAGATGAGGAGAGTAAAGGTCCCTTCTGGAGGATGCAGTGTCTGCCAGAAAGAGCATGCTCAAGCCGCCTATTGTGTGTGTTATAGAGCGCCTGGGGCTGAGTCAGCTGTTATGGGTGAGAGTTTAGGGCACTGTGGGGAGGAGAGTACTGCACACAGCCAGCGCCAGCGCCTGTTTCATCTTTACACTGGTTGTATTTGGCCAAATCAGGTGGGTATTTTCGGGTACTTGCATTTATACAGAAGAGTACCTGATACATTACACATTTCTGTGAGAGAGAAAGGTGTGTGTGTGTGTCTGTGTCTGTGTGTGAAATATTATGATGTAACATATGAAGATATTATAAGGGGTTCTAAAAACGACAGAGAGTAACAGGGCATGGGAGACACTATGTACTTCTGAGTTTGGACTATAAGTGGATGTATCATCCTTTCAAAAAGGGAACAAAGATTGACTTCTTCCTGTGCCCCCATGCTCAGCAAGGAAATGGCTGAGAATTGATAGACCTAGTGTTCAAATCCCAGCTCTTGTCTCAGTGATCTTAGGCAAGCACTTAACCCTCAACACTCCATGTTTTTCATCTACACAGAGGTAATCCTAGTAATTGTTCCCAGGTGTTGGGGAGGATTACATGGATTGCCAGCGGAACCTGGTAAAGTACTCCATAAAGGTTCAAACAGTGGTATTAATAACAGTAATAAGAACAGCAATGTTATCTGATCTTCATTTGTTAGCCAGCAAGTCTGATTCCTTTCCCCATCCCTTCCAACTTTATCATTCTTTTAAAACCAGGCCACAGGCTTGGAAATGTTTGATTCTACTGGATCGAAGCACATTGAGCCTAGCCTTAGCCCTTTAAGGCACTGCCTGCCTCAGATGAAAACTTCTCACTCTTCTCACCATCAGTCCTCGAGCCAGAAAAGCAGTCCTCCAGCAGCAGTTACGGCAGACTGGAGAAAGGAGCGGGCGCTGCTGAACGCACACGTGACACAGGTGAGGCTTTGCAGAGGGAAGCTAGAGAAAGATGAATATGCTCAACATATAAAAGGAGAGAGGGCCCGGTGGCAGGAGAGGATGCGGAAAATGTCGATGGAGGTGAGACCTGACCCTTCAGCCCCCACCTTAGATAGGTCACTGGATCTTTCTGGGCATCTGTAAAATGGGAAGAGTACAGCTAGAGGTGGTCATGGGTTTGGGCTTAGTGGAGGTGGGGGCAGAGAAGCAGATGGTGGCCTGTCCAGCCACCAGCCCTCTTCCAGGGCCTCTTCTGTGCTTTCTGGGCAGGCTCACGCATTGAAGGAGGAGAAGAAGCGTGACATACATCGGATACAGGAGCTGGAGAGGAGTCTCGAACTCAAACAGCTCAGATGGGTAAGATGGGGCTGGTGGACCTGGGAGCAGACTGGTATCAGAGGGCTGTGGGGTGGCTTAGAGGCTCTAGGAGGTGGGTGGATGGAAGGGCTTTGAGGCAGAGGGAAGAGGTCTGTTGTGCCAGCAGCTGGTAAGTCTTGTCATCTCCATGAGCCTCAGGGTCCCCGTCAGCTAAGACAGAGTACCCATTGTCAGCCACCCACAGTGCTCTCTAGCTGACAGCTTGGAAATTGGCTACCATCGGGTGCGAGAATCACAGCAGAGGCAAGCCAGAAGCCTGAGAGGAGCTGCATCAAGAGGGAGGGCTTTTTCTTTGAGGGGGTGGTGGGTGGGAATCCAGAGGCCTCATTGTCTGCTTCTATTTCAGTTGAGCCCCCATCTCCTGGTGGACTCAGCAGGGACATCTGAGGTGGAACAGCTAAGCAAGATGAGCCACTGAGGAAAGAGGTGGGAGTCTGAGGGAAAGCTCCAATTCCAGATGGAAAACAATCAGGCCTTGAGTCTCCTGAACAAGGAACAAAAGGAGAAGGTCCGGGAGCAGGAGGAGAGGCTTCAAAAGCAGGGAGGGGAGAGGAGGTTGCGGGAGGAGGAGACTAAGGGAGCAAAGGAGAGGCTTCAGGAGAAGCAGAAGAGGCTGGGGAGCAGGGGTGAGAGGCTGCAAAGCAGGAGGAGAGGCTACAAAAGCAGGAGGAGAGTTGGCAAAAGCAGGAAGAGGCTGTGGAGAAGGAGGAGAAGCTACTAAAACAGGAGAAGAGGTTGCAATGCAGGAGGAGAGGTTTCGCGCTCCCAGAAACTACAAGTTCAACAAGCAGCTGGCTGAGCCACAGTGCAGCCGAGGATCTGGTGGGTTGCTCCACCTGGGAGCTTTGCTCATCCCTAGCCCTCCAGGTCTTTGTTTCTCCACCTGTAAAATGAGGCAGTGTAGCCTCACATGGATATGGTACTTCTAAAGGCATCTGTGAGCCAGAGCTCATCAGGCCCTGCTCTGATGGCTGTAGGGAGAGGGATGACGCTTAACCATTTTAAATTCCTTTCCGGTGACATGGGAGGCAGACACCAAGTTCTGGGTTTCCGGCTGCAGTGGATGGCCACTGGATTGCTTCTCTGTCCAGAACAACAAGAACAAAAGCGCACTGCAGTTGGAGCAGCAAGTAAAGGAACTGCAGGAGAAGCTGAGCAAGGTGAGGGAGATGGTAACCTCTGCCCCATCCAAGAAGGGGTGGGAGGCAGGCACCAGCCTCTGGGAAGGGGAGGTGCCAGGCCAAAGGCAGCTCCAGCTGGGGGGCAGGTGACCCTAGCACCTTCCAGGACAGCTCCATGACTGTTTCTTGCTTCCTACCCTCTGACTTTTAGAGGTGGGTAGCCCTGGGCTCCTCCCAGGTCTGGACATCATCTTCCCAGCTAGAGGCATGGATTCCCCCAATCATAGGGGTGGAGACAGTGGTATAAGAGGGTCCTTATGCCAGGCACAGTGGCTCCTGCCTGTAATCCCAGCACTTTGGGATGCTGAGGCAGGAGAATCACTTGAAGTCAGGAGTTTGAGACCAGCCTGACCAACATGGCGAAACCTCATCTCTACTAAAATTATAACAACAAAATTAGCCCGGCATGGTGTCACATGCCTGTAATCCCAGCTACTCAGGAGACTGAGGCATGAGAATCTCTTGAGCCTGGGAGGTGGAGGTTGCAGTGAGCTGAGATTGCACCACCGCACTCCAGTATGGGCCACATGGTGACACTGTCTCAAAACAAAGAAAGCCTCCCTTAGATTCAAACTGATTCCAGCCTCGGGTTCCACTGGTCACCATTCAACTACTTTTCATCTCTAAGTCTCTGTTTTTTTGCTTCAAAAAGGAAGTAGTATTTTTCTTATGAAGTGCTGGGGATTAAATGAGAGAACACATGGAAAGCATTAGGCGTGTAGCACACTTAGCAGATGCAGGTTGGCTCCTTCTGCTTTTCCACCAGTCCGTGGTCTACAGTTTAAATGGTGGGAAGAAGGACAGAAGATTTGAGGCTGGGGAAGGAGGCAGTGGGGTTCTAGGCAAGAGGGAAGTCTAGGCTGGAGCAAGGGCCAGGATCCCAGGCAGGTGACAGAGCCCCACCGTGCCCTCGCTACCCTAGCTAACGGGCGCAGAATCTGGAAGCCAACCACCACATGCCCTCACACCCAGGGTCTTCCTGCAGATACAGCTGAAGAGCCAGAGTCTCAGAGCCTGCAGCAGCAGTGAGACTAGTACCGGGGTCACCTGCAACAGTACGTGGTCACCCATTAGCAGCTGACTCTGAGAAGCAGGCGCCGCACAGGCAGTTACTGCTGCAGACCCAGCTCGTGGACCAGCTGCAACAGCAGGAAGCTCAGGGCAAAGCAGTGGCTGAGATGGCCTGCCAAAAGTTGCAGGAGACCCAGGAGAGGGAGTCGCTGAGGACAGGGTCCCGAGGGGACCCACCTGGCAACCTCTGTGCCTTCTCAGTCTGTTTTCCATTCCTTAGAGTGCCTAGAAGCGCTAGCCAGCAGAATCACCAGCTAGAGACCCAGTTGAGTCTCAGCGGCTCTCCCTGACAAGGTACAGAGACCACCTAGAGGAAGAGGAGACAGGCCCCCAGGAGGAAGGGGGAATTAGCATAGGATTGAGGGGTTGGAAGAGACCTTAGAACAGTTAGTTGTTATGCTAACCGGTGTTCGTGTCCAAGTTCGCATCAATATGATGACCTCCTGGGGAGCAGGGGCCACCAGGTTGCCTAAGGATGAGTGAACTGGCCCAGATCAGAAAGGAGCAGGTCAGAACTCCCGCACAACCGTAGTGTGACTGTGCCTGGGCAATATAGAATATCTTGGATCTTTTATAGGAAATAAAGAACAGCAGCTCATTCCCCCTCTGGCCACCTCCCCACAGGAGATGGAGGAGGACATCTAGACACTGAGGAGGAGGGGGTGCCTCGGCATATGCCGAGCATCCCAGAGGACCTGGAGAGCCGGGAAGCCATGGTGAGCCTGACTTTCCCTGCCCCAGCTTTTGCTACCTTCCTCTGTGGTCCCTCCCAGACCCCCATGCTCTTGCTTTCCTGCCTCTGATTTCTCTGACCTTCACTCCCTTCCGAGCCAGTGGTCAGACACCACTTCACCTGTGACCAACAGGTGCACTCTCTGAGGCCCCAAGGGAAGGGGCTGTGCTCCACCTCCCTACCCCATTTGTTTTGTGTATGCCCCCCTACAAGAATACTCAGCCTGCCTTCAAGTGGCATTTTTCAACTCCGCTGGAGCCAGTGCCCAGGAGGAGCAGGCACGGCTATGTGGGCAGCGGAAGGTGTGAAGGCTGTGCTGCCTGCACCTGGGTTTCACCTGGTGGCCTCGGCCTGGAAGCAGCCAGAGGCAGAGGCCCTGCCCCAGGGACTGGGGGTGCTTGTGTGTGGGGGAGAGCTACTCGGGCCCTGTAGGAGGCCAAGTGGAGAAGGTGAAGGTGAGTGGAACCTGGCATGGGCCAAGAAAAAGTGGGGGCGGGCAGGACAGAGGTCACTCCCGTGATGTGACCCTATTATTTTGGCTCCAGAGTGGCTTTATGGACCTCCCGAGGGAGAAGGTGGACGGAAGCAGCAGGTGGTGAAACTAGACCTTGATTCATCCAGCTCTCTGAGCGACAGATGGTACAGTGCAAGCAGGGGCCAGGCACGGCATGGGGAGCTGCAGGGCTCAGAGGCTCCCAGTGTTTCAGAGCCGTGTCCTCTCACAGGAGAGCACATCACGGTATATGAGATCCAGGGGCAGGGCCAAACACGCAGCACAAGGAGGGAGAAAGCGCAGGCTGGCTCCAGAAGGAGGAGGAGGAGATGAAGGTAGAGGGTGTGCAACATCTCTGCAGGGTTGGGGGTGAGGGTGGGTGCTGTCGCCAGCTCAGGCGTGGCACTGAGAACACCTCCCCTTCAGGTGAAGCTGCCGGAGCTGTACATGGTGTTGCCGGTTGTGGGCAACCACGAGGGGCATGACAAATTCCTCTCCTGCTGCCCAGAACCCTCTTGATGAGCCCGCCCAGGGGCCCCAGCCCCCAGGAACTTGCAGTTGCAGAGGAGCAGAGTGGTGTGGCAGAGCCCTCAGGCGGGGTGGGCAGGCCGCAGCAGGAGGCTCCCAGTGTACTCAGAGCCCCGCCTCCCCTCTCTCCGGGAAGATTTCAGGACAGCGTGGAGCCTGCACTGGGAGAGGCCAGGGAGGGTTCTCCCCATGACAACCCCACTGCACAGAAGATCCTGCAGCTGCTTCCTGTAACGCAGACACCTGGTGATACCCAGGTTTGGCCACCAAACCTGCGGCTATCTTTACCGGGCAGCCGAGAACAGAGAGATAAACATCATCATTATCTGAGAGCTGGTCAAGAAATTTAAAAACAACAACAACAAAAAGTTATGGGGTTAATCCCCACACAATTCATCTACTTCATTGGAAATGTTAGAGCCCCTCTATGTTTGTGTTTCTAATTTACAGTTTAAATTTTCCAAAAGAAGGAAGTGTGGGTCTTTCCTGATGTTCACTTGGCATCCGTCAAGCATTTTTGTTTTTGTAATTGATAATTGTAGGTCATTAGCTCAGATGCATCAAGTTTGCTCCTTACATGGTGGGAGTTCAAACACACAAAGACCCACTATTTGCACAAAACTATTCTTACTGGTTGGGAATAGGCTGCCCTGCTTTTTCAATGTTATTGCAGCATGTATATTCATTACAGAATTCAGATAAATCTTGCCTATGTTCTGCTATTATGTTTGATCGATTCCTAATCACAGTGAGCTTCTTCAGCTCAATATGTGGTTTGCCTCAAGTGCTGCTTGCTTCTTACTTTGTAATATGCCACTGTGAGTACCGACATTTGTGAGTTGCTTAAAGGCCGAGAACTGGAAACAGCTTTTCCCCTATTTTCTGTGTATTGGGGCTGGGAGTAATAACATTTTGGGGAGCTTTTTAAATCTCACAGAAGAGGAAAGTGGCCTGCTCTGGCAGGTGTGGGCAGGATAGAGTGTGTTTCATTTGTTCTGGTGCCAGGAATGAGCGTACTATGGTAGTTCCCTTTAGGATTTGTAAGGTACTCTGGGCTCATGAAGATATTGCATCATGAGCTGCAGCAGTTGGACTCTTTCTCAATGACCTAAAAAGGGATTCTGAGGAATGAAAGGCTCCCATCATTGACTGTGGATGCGGAAAACCTTTTCTAGCTTAGAGCATTTATATCTACAATACATTTTAAAGTCAGAGTTCATGTTACCTGTTTTCCAATCACATGACTACACGTCCAGCACAATAAAAGGGCATCCTGCATTGCTTGGTATTCTTCTTAGTGTATTTAGTGAAGATCATAAGAAACCCTTTCAGAGTTTAAATATCCCTGGAACAGGCATACAGGCTCTAGTCAAGAATGAATTCGAGTGAAGGAAAGCTGTGTGACACCTGGCATTCCTCTATGTTCATGGAGCTTCTTTGAGGCTAGAAGACCGATTTTACCATCTAGACCTCTCTGGCTAATACCTATTCTTCAGCCACATTGGTTAATCTGACATAGAATTTACTTTTTTTTTTGAATGGAAAAACACTTTTAAAATAATAACAACCATTTTAATAAACTAATACATGTGAGAGTATTCAAGTAGAAACAAAAAGCAGTTTTAGTAGACAGTGTTATACTACATTTGAAAATCAAGGAGAAGTTATAACTTTAAAATGTTTACAAACTACAATGCAATCTACTGTTTGTGAATGTCAAAGTATTATGAGTAAAAGTATCTATACAATCACAGAGTTATATTTCCTCACAAAGTTCTTTACAAAGAGTGAAATATGTTTTATACCTCGGTTTCAGTTAGAGGCATGTTTTGTGCCATATTTATGTTGGATGCTCATAAGCAGGATGAATGAATTATTTCAGTCACATGCCAAGCCCAAATCCTGACTTCATGATGCTTGGGAAAGAATCAACAGTTAAAACTCTGCCAGAAGTCTTCTAATGTCTGTGTTCCAAAAATACGCCACAGTATTAGGATGTAGGGAGAGATGTATGTGCGCTCCCTGGGGTGTGCAATTCTAGTTACTAGACCATCTCCATTTTTAGCATTTGGCATCCTCATGATACTTTTATAAATATGACATTAATAGGAGAGCAATAATATGATTTTACAGATGAAATAACAGATTTGCCTGCATTCACTGAAAGAGTACAAATATTGGTCCTTCAACTGACTCTTCCAAATTGTATTAATTTATCAAGGTATTGGATAAACCTAGTTTCAGAATGATAAAGAAAAACGTTAGACCAACAGTGAAGCACTCAGGTACAGTTGCACACCGCTTCTTTGTGGATTTTGTCCTATGTTCACAGAAAAGCTAAAAAGAATGGAAATCCTATGACAATAACTTAAGTGTTTCTTCAAAGCATGCAGTCTTTGCAATACCTCATTCAGTCAAGTATTTGTTCTCTTCCTCATTCAATATAAGGCAGCTTTCAATTTGCTTAGAAGGCAACATTAGAAGGTTAGAGATCATCAGAAATATAAAATTTTGAAAAATGAGTTCAACTGAATGAATTTGAATTTCTGTTAGAAGAATCAAAGTACCTATTTAAAGACTGCAATATATGGTCATTATTTTTAAAGTTTTTAGATTAAACCTGATAGGCTTTCCAGAAACTAAAAATCAATTCTAAAACCAAAGCTGATGTTTAGAAAATGTGAAAAGGTACATCAGACCTATCCATAATATAGTTTCTCTAAAACTTTATCTTACAGAGTCACTTTAAAATAATACAACTATTCAAAAATATAACTGCTATCTTAATGTTTTGAAATAAGTTAAAGTGTGTTAAAATGTGAACACTGTAGTTTAATAGAAAGAACTGGGGAAGGAAAAGTAGAGAAAGAAATGCTAATTCAATGCCAAGCTTTATTTGCCTTTCGTAGTTTTGTTAGAATGATTTCACTACTTGTGAATTTCTTGTCAACAGAATGTGAGAATGGAAATACTGAAAGACTGTTGCCCAAAGTGCCATTATTGATCAAGTTACTGTGATGCTACTGTAATGCAATAAGTTAGGAAATTGCTGTAAAGTGCTGTTTGCCATAAAATTGTGTGCGTCTGGAAACTATGGTGTTAAAGGTATTAGTGACTGTGCAAATCCTGGGCACGCTTGGCATGAGATCATCAGATTTTATTTTTACAAAATTAGAATTCATGCAACTGTGTTTATTAGAAGAACACAAACCAAAGTTACGGGATAAAAAAGTTGTAGATGAAAAAGTTATGGGATAAACAATGTTGTGGAAAGTTGTGGCAAAAAAAAAGTGTTGTGGAAAAAAGTAGAATAACGTTTTTATGACAAGTTTTTTAAAAAGTATTAGTGAAAAAGAAGTTATGGGATTAAAAAGTCATAGGATAAAAATAAACAAAAGCAGGCCCCTATCAGCATAAGCCTGGAGAAGGCTGGGAGTCTCACCCCACCGTGTCCCTCTCACCCCTTCCCAGTCACCCCTTTACCATTAGGGTAGCAAGACAAGATCCCTGTCTAATGGGGGGCAGACAACCAGACCCTTTGCCACCTTGACCAGGGCTGAGTCCTTACATTCCTGGACGGTGATGTTTGTTATTGAAGAGCCAGAGGCTGGTGGAGTTGGTTTGTTTGGAGAGGCCTGATGGCCTCCTACTCACCAAAGCAACTTTTCTCAGGGAGCTCCCGTCTCTTTATTTGGAGAGGCAGCTGAGGCAGGACAGTGGGGCTAAGTGTAGAGCAGATGAGGGCACGGGCTGCTGGGGTGCCCCCACTTCCCCAGTGTACATATAGTATCTGTGTAACATTTTGTATATTCCAGGGGTTAGGGCCACCCCCATTGTACCCTGCGGGCTGGAGCTTGCATATGGCGAGGAGGTTCTAGCTACTTATGGCTGGGAGACTTATTTATTGATAGTATAGACAGAGGAAGGAGGTGGGGATGGGGTTGTGTCTCTGGTGATATGACTCTGTTTATTTTGCTTTTCATTTTGGAATAAATGGATTTAGCCATACTGCTCAGCCTGGTGGGTTCCCCGTTTCCTCACCGGGTCCTAGAGTTTGTGCCACTGAATGAGGAGCCCCAGAGTGTCTGAGCATGTCCAGCTCAGCTGTTGGGGACCTTCCAGGCCTGTTACCTGTATGCTGCCTGGTGACACCTGGTGGATTTCATTGGGACTGCCATGGTGCCTAGGCAGTGAGGCCCTGACAGCCAACAGGCTCAGAAGTCGATCTATCGGGTGGCCAGGAAGGCAGATACCAGCATTCAAGGTAATTGACTTCCATCCACCCCAGGCGTCTTCCATTTTGTCCCCCTGCCTCCCTCTCCTCTCTGCGCCTGGTAGCCTGTTCTGTCTGTCCCTCAGTGCACCTCGTGACCAGTTCTATCTGTCCCTCCAGAGGCTAGCTGCCCCGCGGCTCCCCTCCAGGCTGAGTTCACGGCACCCCAGTGACCAGAGCAGGCTTCACAGCACAAGTGCCACCTGAGCCTTGAGGGGCTTCTTCTCGCCAGTGTCCCCTTTAAAGGTGTGGTCTTTTCACTCCACTCCCAACAGCACCAGAAATGGCTTGCCTTTTCCTCCCCTGAGCTCCACAGAGAACACAGCCAGCAGAGGACACATTCCCT